TCTCCCTTCCCTACGCCCATCAACAGCAAGGCGTAGCAGAAAGGATGAACAGGACACTCCAAGCCACCATGCGCAAGCTGCTACGTGGCATGCATCTGCCCAACCACCAGTGGCCCGAAGCAATGGACCACGCCGTCATGCTGCACAACTTGCTTTCGTCATCATCGCTCCCGAACAACGCATCACCGCACCTGCTGTGGACAGGAAAATTGGGCAGCACAAAAATGTTAAGAGTTTTCGGCTGCATGGTACAGTACCGACCCCCATCTGCACGAGCCGGCCGATTCTCCCAACGGGCACAGTGGGGACTACACCTGGGCATCGAAAAACACTACAACGCATGGAAAATCTTCGACATCAACAGCAAAGAAACAGTCGCAGCACGTGATGTCATCTTCTACGAGAACCTCACCCTCGACGTTCATCTCGCGTACGTCAGAGCCAACAGACCTGATCCCTCGGGCGGATATATTGGCACTCGAGCCTTCGCCTCGGCAGAAGACGAAGCTGACTGGGACGAGCAGAACGTGGACCGAGCCTCGGAAGAAGCCGGACCTCTTCCTTATTGCCCAGTGGATGTTCCAATGGACGACGACAACCCACGCGAAAGCATCAACGCCGAAGTTTACTACCACTTCGCCGACAACGGTTACGTTACACCCGCTGAAGTCAACACCAACGAAGCAGAACGCGTAGGACCAAATTTCATACCTGATCCAGTAGCTGGAGACGAAGCAGTCTATCCCGAGGACACCACACTCCCCCGCTACACACAGAGTGGACTTCAGATACTCGGGCTCGTCACCGCAGTCCACGGCGCCGCCATTCCTAAGGAGCCTGCAACGGTTCAGCAGGCTCTGGGGGGGGGAGCACAGGGAAAAATGGCGCGAAGCCATGGACAAGGAACTAAAAGCATTAGAGGAGCGCAACACGTGGAAAGTTGTTCCCATCGGCGTAGCACGGAACAAGAAATTCCTTACCGGAAAATGGGTCTTCCGTGTGAAGACGAAAGCAGACGGCACCATCGACAAATTCAAGGCGCGCTGGGTCGTACGCGGCTTCGACCAGGAGCACGGACGGGACTTCACCGAAACCTTCGCTCCGGTCAGCCGCCACACTTCACTCCGCATCCTCCTCGCAATCGCCGCCATGAAGAAGAAGAAGCTGCGACAAATCGACGTCGCAAACGCGTTTCTTTACGCACCTGTGGATGCAGAGATTTTCGTGGAACTACCACATGGCTCCAACACAAACTCCACGCACGTCTGCCAGCTGCTCAAGTCGCTCTACGGCATCAAACAAGCCCCACGACTGTGGCAACAGTACCTGCACGCTCGCCTCATCCGCATCGGCTTCAAGCAACTCCCGCACGACCAAGGCATGTACCGGCTCACGAAGAACACCGACTACATCCTACTAATCGTCTACGTGGACGATCTCCTCTACATCGGGTCAACCGACGGCATCACCACCTGGTTCGAAGGGGAGCTGCAGCAAGACCTCACACTCACGGTCTCGTCTACCGTCACTCAGTACCTCGGCCTCAACATCCGAGAAGAAGAAGACGCGATCTACCTCAGCGCCGAGAAGTACGCCGACACCATCGCCAAGCGCTTCGCTCTCACACCGACCGTCATTTCAACGCCATACCGCTACACGGCAAGGAACAGCGAGGGAAGCTCCGCTCTACTCAAACCCGCCGGCATACGCGACTATCAAAAGAAGCTAGGATGCCTCCTCTTCGCAGCTGTTACCTGCCGTCCCGACCTCTCATATTCCGCAAGCCAGCTCGCCACCTACCTCAAGAAGCCCGAAGCAGAACACCTGGCGGAGCTCGATCGCGCACTTTGTCAGAATGTTATATTTGTCTAGCCTGCAGTGGGGTACTCTATAGCGAGTACAGCCCAATCTAGGGTTCCTATTTGTACTCAACTGCCTGCTAGTCGAACCCCTCTTTTTGCCTAATTCTCTCGACATGCTATCAGAGCAGGTCGACCCTCCTGGGTCGATCCTGTGGGTGGGCCCACCACCTAATGCTTCCGCTGCTGTACTTCCTGCCGGGCGCCTCGGGCGCGCGACGACTTCTTCCTGCCGTCCCGCCGGCGGTTTCGGCGGTTTTCATCCCGCCGTGCGCTCGGGGCGCGCGGCGGTTTTCTGCACGCCGTGCGCCCCGAGGCGCGCGGCGGTTTCCCACCGTCGAAGCGCCCTCCCCCCATCACCGTCGACCCCCCGCGTCGCCCCGCAGCCCCGCGCGTCGCCCCCGACGTCTCGTCGCGACACCTTGGGGAGCCGCGCGCGGCCCCCCGCTACCTCGTCGCGACGCCGTGGGGAGCTGCGCGCGGCCCCCGCTGCCTCGTCGCGACGCCTTAGGGAGCCGCGCGCGGCCCCCCGCTGCCCCGTCGAGGCGCCCTGGGGAGCCGCGCGCGGCCCCCGCTGCCCAGAGGTGGCGCCCTGGGGGTCGCGCGCCTTCCCCCTCGCCGTCCCCCGCGCTCCTTCTCCCTTTCGCCAGTTTTTAGGGTTTGGGGGTGGGGAGTGTGGGGGTGGCGGCTGTGGGGGTGTCGGTTGTGCGTTACTCTACCTACTCCTCCTCCTCCCTAGTCTCCCTCTACTGCAGCTGCCGCTGAGGGGGGTGGTGTGTGGGAGTCTAGGGTTTGGGGTTTAAGGGGGGGTACCGTGGGAGTGGAGCTAGGGGTGAAGCAAGGGGTGTGTGTCGAGGGGTGTGGGACTGTTGGGGGAGGTTGAGCGGAGACTGCCGTCGTGTCGTCCGCAGCACCTGTATTCCGGGGTTCCGCGGACCTCCGGTAGCTCAGAGAGCCGGCTGCACCTGTCGCCCGTGGGTCCGCTGCACCCTCCGCAGCGACTATTACCCCTGTAGTCCGGGGCTCTGCTTCCGGTAGCCACTAGCGTTGCGCCAGAGCCGTCTGATGCCCGTGTGTCTGCAGCTTCAGTCGTCGCCTCCACTCCTTTCTCCTCTCGCCAGCCCTCCTCCTCCTCATTTGTCCTCTGTGACCGCCTCTAGCTTTGCTCATAACTTATAAACTGTTGCTTCTTGAACTTGTGCTCAGAATGTGTGGTGACATCGTGATCCACCCTGAGCTTGTACTGCTTTGCTTGCTCTGCTGATTACACCCCACTTTGGCTATGGGGGTGTGTCAGAATGTTATATTTGTCTAGCCTGCAGTGGGGTACTCTATAGCGAATACAGCCCAATCTAGGGTTCCTATTTGTACTCAACTGCCTGCTAGTCGAACCCCTCTTTTTGCCTAATTCTCTCGACACTCTTCACTATCTCGTCAGCACTCCAACGATCGGCCTAACTTACTACAAGAACGCAACTACACCGACTAAGTTAATCGGCTACGTCGACGCCGATCACGCCGGCGACTCCGATAACAGGCGCTCGCGCACCGGCTACATCTACCGCCTCGAACCTATCGGTCCTATCTCCTGGCAGTCGAGCAAGCAGGAGTTAATCGCACTATCGTCAGCTGAAGCAGAATACATTGCACTCTGCTCAGCCACCAAGGAAGGCCTTTACCTTCGCGAGCTACTGGAAGAAGCGAAGTTAGCCGAGTTACCCAACTTCACCCTGTTCTGCGACAACCAGTCGGCAATTCGCATCGCCAACAAGAACGGCTTCGCGAACAGGACGAAACACATCGCCCTGCGCTACTTCTTCGTGAAGGATGAGATCGAGAAAGGGAGACTCGAGCTGTCATACTGCCCCACATCCGAGATGGCAGCTGACTACTTGACCAAGAAGCTCGGAAAGCAGAAGTTCGAGTACTGCATGCTGCTGACTGGACAGAGCCACGTCATCAGCAGCGACACTCCAGAAGCGAAGGGGAGTGTTGGAAACAGTAAATCTTAAGCGCTTCTGTCATGTGGAAACATCACACGAGAAGTAAAGCAAACTTTACCGAAGCACCTGCGAGTCAACCCTCGGAGGTTGAGAGGTTGCTGGAGGTTACGCGAAAGTCAAAGGTCAAGCGACCTTTGACCGGGCAAGTGCAGCGCGACAGTTAAGGACACACAACTGACTCGTTACAGAGCAGTTGCCCGAGTCGTACTGTATCGAACCGCAACAGCAACAGTAAAGTAGTTACAACCGTATCTTTTCGTATTCCTTGTACTATTATATATTCTTGTATCTCTTTGCTATAATCAATCTACTTTGCCCTCACATACTAGCGCAAGGTGGTTCACAAAACTCTTCATTAAACGCTTCCGCTACTACAAGATTTCTACCCAGAGTTTTACCCCTGCAAAGATCCTAAGGGCTTTTCTCAGCCCAACAGAATAATAACCTTTGAGATAGAGGAATCATACTGGATTACTTTTACCGTACATGCTTTTCCTCGTTCAGTATAATAAGATTCTCTACCATCATGTACGAGGATAATCCGATTATCTGTATTTCATTATCTATAATCATGTACGCTTTTAAGATTATTTATCTGATTGTCTAAATCATGTACGAATACTATCTGATTATCTGATCGTATTGTGCAGATGTTCAAGAAATGTTTCTGTTCAATTTTCCTTCAAGCAGATTGAGGGCTCCGTATTTCTCGCACAGTGAACGGGCTCACGTTGGCTGCACTCAACATGTCCTCTGCATCCAACCGTTCATTTCGAAACAATGACGATGCGACTCGTCTCTGCTTCTTTGGCTGGCTGGAATGGTGTGTTGAATTGCACGGAAAGCAAACAAGCGCACACACACACCCACCAACATTTTGACGCAGCCCACAAACCACCACACTTGTTTCATGCTTTGCAGCCCAGTGTACCGAAGCGGCTCGCACCTATTTCCTAAACTTAGGGGAACTTTGAAGTCAATCTAGGCATGGAAAACTTTTGACTGTTCAAGTTTGAATCCGCTGTGCCTAAACTTTCATGATACTGCAGCGTGCAGACAGAAAGCACGCTGGACGGCCTAAGTTGAAGGCAAAATGGCGGGGACACCGCGCGACATGGAGCTGCGGCTGGTGAACGGCATGGTGCTGAAGGTTCAGGTGGAGGAGACGGCGGGCCGCGTGGGAAAGCGCGTGGCGGCGTTGGAGGCGAAGCTGAGGGAGCAGGGCGACGACATGGCTGCCATGCAGAGCGACATGGCCGACATGCGCCGCGCCATGGCCCTCCTCAAGGGCATGGCGGCGACGGGCGCTTCGGCTGAGAAAAGTGAGGGAGAGGCGGGAAAACGGAGTGCGCCGGGAGAGCAATCGCAGGGTGGCGCGCAGCCGAACGGCGCCCAGGAAAGGGAAGAGGTGAAGTCTCTGGCGGGTGCGGCTATGTGGAAGGCGCAGGACGTGGTGGCTGAGATGGGCCCGGTAAAGGCGGAGCTTGCGCGGATGAGGGGAGCGGCGGAGCGGCAGGCGGCGGAGGTGGCGTACGTGAAGGCGACGGTGGCGCACTCGGAGGCGCGCATCAACGACGCCGAGCTGGCGCTCGCCGCCATCAAGGATGGCCGCGCGGAGAAGAGCCGCGCCGAGCGCAACGAGGGCAGCGGGGAAGAGCATGCGGGGGAGGAGAGACGCGAGGGGAAGAGGCGGAAGAGGGACGAGGCAGGGGAAAAGGGGGGAATGGCTGGTGCTGCTGCGGGCGCTGGTCGTGCGCTGATTGCGAATGGTGGTGAAGCTGTAATAAAGCGGAATGAGGCAGAAAAGGGTGGCGAAGCGCCGGGGCGGAAGAATGGTGTAGCGTGCGACACAAAGGCTGAGCTGCAGACCCTGAGGGCGCGAGTGAAAGCGCTGGAGAAAATGAGCACCGTAGGAAGCAGGTCGTGGGAGGTGAGTCCTTGCATGCTCTAAATGGTCGAGTATTTTTTTCTATTTTACCGATTCGGAAGTTTCTGTTTTCATCCGTTGTTATAACAGTTTTCACCATCACCACCTGCAGCCTGAGGGGCACGCATGGCAGCATGTGTAGCCTTTTCGTTGCTAGGAACCTCGCGTACACACAAGCCACAACTCTCTGCCACCATGTGCTCATGCCAATCTCTCTTTACGCTTGATCTTGCTGATGCCCGTGCCTGCAGGCACTGACGATGATATGGAGCGAAGCGATTCCAGACATGACAGAGGTGAACCTCAGCGGCATTCCCTTCCTCACCGACACTGCTCTCACACAAGTTGCCAACTTTAGCTCTCTAACCTCGCTGAACCTCAACGATACCTTGGGCTTCACAGGAGCAGGGCTGAAAGGGCTCTTTTCTCTCACGGGTCTCACATGCCTTAGCTTACAGAGCACAGCCACAACAGACGCGGCTCTTGAAGGCATTTCCAGCTTGCAGAATCTTTCCTCACTTGACCTTTCTTATACCAAGATAACCGATGTGGGGATAGCAAAGCTGCAGGGGATGACGGCACTCGTGCACCTTCTCTTAGGGGCATGTGCGGCGGTCACCAATGCCAGCATGGTGCATGTGGGGAAGCTGACAGGGCTGGAATTTCTCACTCTGAGTGACACTGGAGTGACAGAGGATGGGCTGCTGCGCTTGAGTACGCTCGCTTCACTGAAGCTCCTCGTCTTGCCTCCAGGGGTGACTGATTCTGGCATGAAGCACCTGAGGAATTTGAAACGCTTGGAGAAGCTCGGGCTGTGGGATGCTAAGATCACTGCTGCCGGTGTCAAGTGGCTCAAGGGGCTCAAGTGGCTCCAGGCGATTGCAACAGACGCAGAGGATGTTGCAGAGTTGATCAGAGACATTTTTCCTGGGATGATCGTGACACCAGGCCCTCTTTGGTGAATACAACAATTTTGAGAGGCGAAGCTAGGTGACACCCAACCACAGGTAGGAAGGATGGCGGCACTTTAGAGACTCCGGTTGATGTGATGTTGGTACGGTATGCTTGTTGCTAATGTGTTTGGGAGCTGAACTGGTGTTGTTTTGTTAGGCCAACCACAGCCTGTAAAAATCATGAAGCTTCTCATTCAGAAACACAAGGGGCTTCTACAGGAAAACCCATTTACCATAGCTAGGCCCTAGGCACAAGAACCTCAGCAGCATTTGCAGCTAAATCACAAGCATCCAATCCAAACCTAGGCAAGAAGTTGCATTTCTGCATAATGAGGGACTTCCCTCCCCAGCAGCATATTCCCTCCTCTCTTTGGTTTGTGAGAAACCAAGCTATGGATTCACAGTCACTCCTTTGAAGGACTATGCTTTGCCTTTCAGTTGTCTTGTCTTCTGCAAAAGGCGGTTCCATTCCTTTGTGCCCGTCGGCCTCAACGTCTGCTCTGCACCGGCACACGTGGCTTCCGCTTCGCACCAATTCATACCTCAGTCGCGTTCGTCACTTCCCTGCGCGTCCCACTGCACGCGCCTTGCCGCTGCTCCGTCCTTCCGGTGACTCGCTCGCAAGCGCGAAAATCCTTCTAAACCATAGGCCTACAGGCCGCGCGCGGCGATGGGCGAGCAGCAGGTGGTGGGCGACTTTCTCAAGGTCACGCCCAAGCGCTATGCGCCAGCGGCGCCCGTGGAGACGGTGGAAAGCGGCGGAGCCGCTGATCGGCAACGTGACGACCATCGACTTCTGCCCCTCCGCGCCCTTCCACTTCGCCGCCACCCACTCCACCCGCGTGCGCCACCCTCGCCACTCTCACCCTACCACTTTGCCGCCACCCTCAACCCCCGTGCGACGTGTTTTCTTCTCAGTCTCGACCTGTGTGTGCACGTTGTCAACACGCGCAACAAGTAAAAAAAACACTTGTGCCTGTGACGCTACGAACCCCATGGCAGGTGACGGTGTACAGTGGCGACCACTCAAAACCCTCTCTCGCTTCAAAGGCCCCTCCCTTTCCCCTCCATAATCACCCATCCCGTCCCGTGTCTGGCCTGCCCGCTTCCTTTAACCCCTCCCCACCGCTCAGTTGTCCAAAGCTCATCCTTGCGAGCGGTTGTAATCACACCCTTTAATCGCACTGTCACATCTGATCCTTCTCTCCCGCCCGCCCTCCTCCCCCTTTCTCCCGTCTTCGCCCCTCCCTTTCCCTTCCCTCCCGTCCCCCCCCCCCTCCCGCGCCCCTCTCCCGTCCGCTTTTACCCTTGCCCTCCCCTCGCCCCCCCTTCCCCTCCCCTCCTCTCCCCTCTCTCCCTTGCCGTGTGCGTGGTGCCCGGGCGTGGCCAGCTGCTGGTGACGCGTGGGAACAGGGCATCGTGCAGGTCAGGGCAGCCAGGCGCACCATGCTCTGAGGGGGTGCACAGGCCGGGCACAGTGGGCTGTCATGGGGGAGCGGAAAGTGGGAAGCACAGCGGCAGGGAGGGGGCAAGGCAAAGGAGGGAGTGAGGGGGGCTGTGGGGCAGTGGCAGGCAGCAGGCTTATGGGGGAGCTGAGGGGGCGGAGGGTGTGAGATGGGCGAGGGCATGTTTGTGTCTGCATGCGCACCTACCCTGCGTTCTCCTTTTACCGGCACGTGCCCCGCCTGCTGCTCTCTACCCGTAGGTGAATCACCTTGGTGTTCCGCACCTGCTGCTGTTCCTTCCCCGGACCCGGATACTTCCCCCGCTCCGCTGTGTCCTCACTCTTCTCGACCATATGCTACTTGCGAGTGGGGTATTGAGGTTCTCCCTTCATACCCACCAGCGCCTTTTTCACCTCGGTGTCCTGTTCCTTCACACACCATTCGTTCACCTCCTCTTCTTCCCCTTCTCCCCTCTTCCCCCATACTCTTCCCTACTCCCCGATACTCTCCCCTCCTCCCTTCGCAACTGTCCCCCTGTGTGTGGTGTGTGGACGCAAACAGGTGTTCAACGCCACGACCCGCACAGTGCTGAGACAACTCAACGGCCACATAGAGTACGCACGCACGCTCTCTCACACGCCTGTCCTCACTAGCACCATGCACCAACTGGCTCACCCACCAACGCACACACATTACTTCCAACTGTCCAGCCCTCCTTGTCGCCTCTCGTTCTCTCCCATTTCCGACCTCTTTGTTCTTGTTCGCCTTGCCTTCCATTCTCTCGTTCAGATCCCTGGTACATGGCCAGCTGGAAGAGGCTGCGGTGGCTGCTGCTGCTGCTGTTGCCGCTGTCGCAGTCGTGTATATTGTTGATTGAATTCATTCTTCCTGCCGCCGTCTCCCCATCTTGTGTGTGTACTGCATTGCTGTCAGCATCGCTGCACCACCAGCATCGCTGGCAATGCTCAAATTACCACAGCTACTCCCGAACCCTCTTTCTTCTTAGGATAGTAAACGACTTAGTCGGCAATAGTCTGCTTGCTATTGCTTATCGTGTTCTCCACGATCTCCTGAATCCAATGATATGCACAGCTCTGCTTGAAGTTGTCAATACACACTTCAGCAATTTTCAGAATCTTCAACTGATCAATGTTATGATTTCCAGAATGAGTACAAGCAGTTTTATAGTCAGGCAATGCACAAAATGCGGTTCGTAACGTAACTTCTATCCCAAGCAATTTCGCGCGCGCCTCGTTTCACCCCGAGTCGCACACCGAATGCACCGAACACTCCTCAAGTCCGAATCTGGAAACTTCTCGAACACGCCTCAAGCTCGATCCACAATTTCCCCCCGTCGATCTCCTTCTCGATGCTTCTCCTTCTCTCCACCTCCTTCTAGCACATTTCTTCCCAATTCTTCTCCCTCTTCTCACGCCGTAGCCTCCGATATCCACCGTAGGCCGATTTCCACTCTAGAAAGTCCCATGCGCTTCCTTTCCGCCGTCACACCGAATCTCGCCGTAGGTTCCGTGGTTCGTCGAACCAACCCTAACAATCTCCCCTGTGGTTCGTCAACCACGAACTCCACTCGCACTCCTCCCCTGCTCCTTGTAGCCTTCACAGGGTCTAACCAGGCTTCACGCTCCCTTGCAGCTCCTGCACCTTGAACATCTGCTTACGTGTCTTGAAGTGGAGCGCCTTAACATCCAAACCATGATATATCTTCTTAGGCCTCTCGCACCTCCTCGGCATCTTAACACCCAACTCCTCTCGGATCTCGTACCCCTCAACGTGTTCCTCTTTCATAGGCACTCGCCCCTTTGCAGTTGCATTCGTCGTTGATCCCTTCACCATGATGTCCCCTTTCACAGCTTCAACTCCCACACACTTCGCATTGACTGCTTCATCTTCAACCACGATCGCTGCTGCAAAATTGTTGACACCGAATTCATCTCCACCATTCACTACTGCTGCCTCCATGGTGACTATCTCCTCTTCCTGGTTCACTGCTTCCACACTTGCTGCAGTATCATCCGTGTCCTCACTCTCATTAACCTCAGTTGATGACTCCTCCAAATCTCCCATCTCAGCATCCTCACAGGTCTCATCCTTATCGCTCATCGCGACCAAGTTCATCTCATAGAACCCATCACTGAAATAACCATCCGCATACTTCTCCCACTCAGGACCAAACACGGTCACCTCGCCACTGTCATAGAAGATCTTGCACCCCAAGTCATCAAGCTGTGACTGACTTACCAAATTCACCTTCAAATCCTCAACTAGCAACACATTCTCCAGTCTCATCTCTCCATACGGACTCTGCAGTACCACGTCGCCCTCTCCTGTCACTGGCAACTTCCCACTGTTTCCTTGCAGGATATAACGCTCACTCGACTCCCTCACATTCTCCATCCAATCTGACCTGAATGTCATGTGACGCGTGCATCCGCTGTCCATGAACCATGCCGTCTTTTCACGTTCGCCCATCTCGCGAACATTCTTCGGTAAACGCACCACGTTCGCAAGATGCGCTCCTCCCAAAATCACGTCCTCCTTTTCCGCTTCCGCTACATTCACCTTTCCCGCCACATTCCTCTGCTGCGACGGTCCCTTGTAGCTCCTGCTGTTTGGATTGGAGTAGCACTCTGCGGCACGATGCCCGTAGCGCCCACAATAATCGCACTTGCCGCCAAAACCTCGTTTCTGCTGCCACTCCGCTCCCCCATTCTCCACTTTCTCGTTATCCGCCGCGTTGCCCTTGTAGTTTCTGATTCGCGGATTTTCGTAGCAGTTTATCGCCTTATGACCGCGCTTTCCACACTGGTAGCACGCTCCAAACGCCTTCGTTGCATTCACCAAAGCCGGCCTCTCCTCGTCAAATTCCTTAGCCGCTGCTGCCGCTTTCTTTTTCCTCATCTCCTTCACCGTCTCAAGCGACTGCAGAATCTCCTGCAGCTTCATCAGGTTTTCTGGAGGTTGATACGTGAACATTCCGATGTCGGATTCGTACTCCTTAGGAAGTCCATCGATGTCAAATGTTGTAGCCTATAGTGAGGTTTGTCTTAAGGGGTACAAAACTTAGGGTTAGCTATATGTACCCCAACCAACATCAATGCATCATCCATTCTTCATTCTGACATGGTATCAATTAGGTTAGGATCCTGTGGGATCCCGTTCCGCCGTTCTCCGTTCGTACCACCCGAGCCTGATCCTAGCTCTCGTTCGTCTCCTTCTCGTTGTTACCGAGCCTAGCGCCGAGCCACGCTCTCGTTCGTATCGTTCCAGCTGTTACCGAGCCTAGCAACGACCCACGCTCTCGTTCGTATCGTTCCAGCTGTTACCGCCCCCCCGTCGCGTCGCCTTCCCCCCCCTCGAGACGCGCCCGTCCCTTTCCCCCTGTCGCGTCGCGCTCCCCCCGTCGCGTCGCGTCCGCTCCTTCCCCCCGTCGCGTCGCCTTCCCCCTGTCCCGTCGCGCCCTCCCCTTTCCCCCCGTCGCGTCGCCCTCCCCCTGTCCCGTCGCACCCGCCCCTTTCCCCCCGTCGCGTCGCCCTCCCCCTGTCCCGTCGCTCCCGCCCTCTCTCCCCGTCGCGTCGCCCGTCCCGCAGCGCCCGCCACTGTCGCTCGCGACCGCGCTCGTCGCCGCCGCGCCTGCCGCCGTCGCCCGCCCCCTGCGCGCCTCGCCGCGGCCCCGCCGTCGTCGCCCGCCGCTGCGCGCGTCGCCGCTGCGCCCCCTGCCGTCGCCCGCTGCGCGCGCTGCTGGCCCCTGCTGCCGAGCGCGCTGCCATCGCCCGCCGCTGCGCCCGTTCCCGTTCCCCGCTGCTTAGTCCCCTGTTACCTCCCGCTGTCACGCCCGCTGTGGCGTCCGCTCCTCCCCTGTCCCAGAGTACCGCCGAACCCTAATTTGCCTCTCACCTACTGCTGTCCCCTCCCTCTCCGTTCGCGTTCGTTTTCACTATGGCGACTCAGCGTGTCCTTCGTTTCGACGCTGACGGTAGACCTCTTGATTTTTCCGTCTGGCTTCTTCGTGCTCGCCGTCTGTTAGAGAGTCAGGTCCAGGCAGGCGAGACCCTCTGGGCGCACGCTACTGGTGCCCTACCTGCGCCCCCCGACCCTACGCCTTTAGGACCTGCCCCTGACGACGCCGCTAGAGCCCGCTTTGCCACTCAGCGAGCTGACCAGACGGCTTGGACGTCACGTGACGCTGCGGCCTGCATCGCGCTCAGCAGCCTCCTCCCTGAGTCTGAGGAGGTTCACTTCACTCAGGTTCGCACCGCTGCTGAGTACCTCACTGCGATTAAGGCCCGCTACTCTACTCCCGCTGCTGTCTCTCTTGGCCGCCTGTTCCTCCCGTTCCTGTTTCCTGACCTAGCGTCTTTTGAGCGCTCTGCTGACTTGATCGCTCACCTCCGCTCGCTCGACGCTAGTTACCGCGCTGCTTGCACTGAGGCACAGCTTGCACTGCTTCCTCCCCCTATGGCGATTACTATCTATTTCATCGCCACTAGCCTCCCTGACCGCCTTGCCTCCGTTCGCGACGCGCTTCTGCTGAAGCACCCTAGTGAGCTCACCGTCGAGGTCCTTGAGTCTGCACTCAAGGACGTCGAGAGCAACCTTCGCTCGGTAGCCGCTGCCTCTGGTGCTGTGCCCCCCCCACTCTTCCACGGGTGCACAGTCCCGCAGTTACCCACCTTTACTGCCTCACTTGCCACTGCCGCTACTGACGCGACTGCAGCTGCTGTTACGACTGCGTCGCGGTCCCGCGGTAGGAGTGGCAAGAAAGGCGGTTCTGGTGGTGGTAGTGGAGGTGGAGGCGGAGGTAGTGGAGGTGGCGTTGCGCCTGGCGGCGGTGGAGGTTCAGGGCCTGGAGAGGCGCCTCGTGCAGTGACTGGTGACTCCACTGCGCCTGCTGGTGGTGGCGACGCCCGAGTTCGTCAGTCGCCTCCTGTACTTCCTGCCCCGGTTGGTGGAGCAGCGGCGTGGTACCAGGCTCAGCGTCAGCAGCAGCTTCTGCAGCACCAGCAGCCCCTCTCCTCCCAGCAGCCTCAGCAGCAGCAGCGGCAGCAGCTGGCTCCAGGGTCGGGGCTGCGTCAGACCCAGCGCGGTGCTGTTTACACTCCCTGCACCTACCAGGTTCTGACAGGCACTCGTCGTGGCCACCCTTGTGGCCGGTTTCACCCCCCTGGTCAGTGCTTTGCTCAGCTCACTGACACGGTTCGTTTGGTCTACGGGGTTGGTGCTCCTGCCCCTGACTGGCTGCCTCTTGTTCAGCGTTACGGCTCCGCTCTGTGGGGCATGTCTGCTGAGCAGTTAGTTGATCTGATTGGTAATCCCCATGCTATGTATGCTGTTGTTGACTCTAGTGTTTCTGACTCTGTTTACTCTGGTGTTGTTAGCTTAGGTGCTAGCCTTGCTCAGTTGCCTGTTGCTAGTGTAGGTTCTTGTGTAGACTCTAGTCCAGCGGCTACCTCAGAGGACGGTTCGCTGTCGTTCACGCTGGACTCTGGAGCCTCTCACTGCTTCTTTCGTGACAGCACGACACTTACGCCTCTTCCTGCGCCTGTTTCTGTGGCGCTGGCTGATCCCACTTCGGGACCAGTCACCGCGCGTCACACTACCACCTTGCCGTGTCCGGCTGCTCCTTCTGGGTCTCTCACTGGGTTTCACGTCCCCTCGTTCTCCCGGAACTTGGTGGGCGTGCGACCCCTCGTGAGTCAGCACGTGGGTGTGTGGTTTGAGCCTTCTGGAGAGACTGCGGTGTGTGTTGACGGGGACTCTTACCAGCCCCTCGCCACTTTTGCTGCTGAGCCGGGCTCCGGTCTCTACACTCTTCACACTGGCCCGCGCGCTCAGCAGCGACTGCAGCAGCAGCAGCAGCCGCAGCAGCAGCAGCAGCAGCAGCAGCCGCAGCCGCAGCCACAGCCGCCCCTCCTGCCCCCGGCCCCTGTTTTGCCCCCCGTTCGAGTCCTCGCGTCTCACCAGGTTGCTCCGTCCCCCCAGGTAGCTGTGTCTTGTCAGGTTCCTCCGTCTAGTCCGGTCGCTGCGTCGTGCTCCTGTCGGTCGCTTGCCCACCCCACCGTTTTGTGGCACCACCGGTTGGGGCACCCTTCTCCTCCTCGTCTTCGCGCTATGTCTCGTCAGCGTCTTGTCTTAGGTCTCCCGCGTGTCTTGCCGTCGCTGCCGCCGTCCCTTGCACCACCGTGCGGTCCTTGCGTCGAGGGTAGGCTGCGCGCCACCCCTCACTCCTCCTCCCTTCGTCCGGCCACCGAGCCTTTTGAGACGCTGCACTTGGACGTCTGGGGCCCCTCTCCTCGCCCTGGCCCTGAGCGTGAGCGTTTCTTTTTGGTGGTCGTTGACGACTACTCCCGCTACACCACAGTGTTCCCCCTGGCGAGGAAGTCTGAGGTGACTTCTACGCTGATCAGGTGGTTGCTTACCACCCAGGACACTCGTGGTCGTCGTGTCAGCTGTCTCCACTCCGACCGCGGGGGCGAGTTTCGCTCCGGCATTCTCGCTGGATTCTGTCGCGAACAGGGCATTCGTCAGTCCTGGACGCTTCCGGAGTCCCCACAGCAGAATGGGGTTGCTGAGCGTCGCATAGGCCTGGTCATGGAGATTGCCCGCACCTCCTTGACTCACGCCCGTGCCCCCCATTTCCTGTGGACATACGCGGTCAGGTACGCCGCGCACCAGCTGAACCTCTGGCCACGCGTCTCTCGGCCGGAGGCTTCACCGACCAGTCTTTGGACAGGGTCCCCTGGTGTCGCGTCGAGGTTTCGTGTCTGGGGGTGCTTGGCTCTTGTCCGCGACACCTCCGCGGACAAGCTCTCGCCTCGCGCCGTTCCTTGTGTCTTCCTTGGTTTCCCTGAGGACTCCTCTGACTTCACCTTTTACCACCCTCCCTCTCACCGGTTCTTTGACTCCCGTGACGTCCGTTTCGAGGAGTCCACCCCCTACTACGTCAGGTACCCCAGTCGAGGTCTCCCGGTCCCTCCCCCCCCTCTCTTCCTGACCGCCGCTCCCCCGCCTGCTCCCCCGGTACAGCCTCCCCCCCCTGGTCCAGCCCCGTCTGGTGTGTCTCAGGCTAGCCCTCCCCCTTCGGTAGCCCCCCCTGTACAGCC